CAAAAAAGTTGATATACCAACACAACTTCTCTGCAAAATAGTTGTGAATGCCAAAGTAGGAGCCAGCTGGAGAGATACAAATCCGATTCGAGCATTAAAACCTAAAACAGAGAACATGCAATATAATTGACAAGTTTTTGGAAAGAGATGAATAGAACGAAAGGCATACACTGCACGACAAGAAAACTTAGTACAAGAAGAGCAACAGCGATTAAATGTGTAATAGATGACCTACCAACACTAGAAGAATTAAACAGAAGAAAACCAAAGATATATACATTGTCAAACTGTCAAGTATGCCAAACAGGTGAAAAGGAAACTTAAGCACACTTGGCAAGCTGTATTGAACAAAAGTGCCTGTGGAAAAGGATCCAAAAGGTAGCAACAGCAACAGTATGGAATGGTCTTAAAGAAACTGAAAAAACCAGAATTCTGCCTTAAGTGCTTTATGAAGCAACCTTTGGAAAGACAGAAGCAGAAGAAATTATTAACAGAAGAGCACTAATAAAAAGGTTAATTATGAACAAAGTAGAAAAAAGGATCAGTTAGATGTTAGACAAACAGGCAATGCAGAGATGTATAGGAATAATAATAAGAACAGTATGGAATACTTTTTATGACCAAGTATGGAGAGTTCGATGTGGAAAAGTGCAAGAATGGGAAAAGAAGATGAACATAACAAGCAAAATGAAGAAAGGTGCTTGAATCAGGAAAAAGTCAGGAAAAAGAACAAAGAAAGATAAATAAACAAAAGAAGAGGAAAAAGAAAAGAAAATAGAAAAAATAAACCGAATGAAGAAAGAAGCTAAGAAGACAATTGATATGCTTGTCACAGAAGAGTGAAGACCTTTCTGATATGGCTTTAAGTAGTTAGACGAGCAGTCTATCTCTAACTGAGATAGTGTGGCAGGTTGCACTTAGGTACCATTAGGGTGGCCGAGTAATGCTAGACTTAGGTATTGGGAAATTTTATGTAATTATAAATATATATAGTTTCAAGAATCTTAATAAAGTACTAGCGTAACTGCTTAAGGTTAAAAAAAAAAAAAAAAAAAAAAAAAAATCAAATCATAATACAACTATGCAGCTTATGCAAATGTTAGAAGAGCATCAATATGTAGTTCATTATATATTATTAAAAGATAGTTCTATAAAAAACTTGTTCTTTACTTATATTAAAGCAGCTCACCAAACTGCTATATATATGAAGATGCTTATAGTAAATGCAATATATAAAACAAACTTATATGAGCTTTCTTTCATAAATGCTGTTAGTATTAGTAATCTTAATAATACAAAATCTCTTGATATCTATCAAATTGCAATAGTATAAGTAAAAAATAAACAAGAATACATATATAAATAGTTTTTAAATTTTTTAAAAGAAATAATATATGATAATTTTTTTTGCACCTTAGAAGTATTTTTGTTTCAGATAGATTTTAAGCTCTTTAAAAAGTGACAAATATAATTTTTCCAGAAGCAAACAAAATGGTATGCATCTGGCATATGTTTGTGCAAAATCTAAGAACTGTATATAGAAAATTTTTTGATAATGAAGAAATTATAACAAGTTGTTATTAACAATTCAAAAAGTTACTTATGCAAAGAAGATGAGTATAATTGAAAAAGCATTTGATTAAATAAAAGAAGTAGCAATAAAAAGTAGAAATTATAGCTATATTATAATTTACTTTGAAGAATAAAAAAGAATGGAAAATGTTGAATAAATGTTTTTACAAAATATTATCTATATATGGGAGTTTATTTGACACAAAGAACAGAAAGAAGTCATGATTGTTTGAAAAAGATAATAGAAGCAACAAGTAGACTAAATCAAGTATTTTTATATATTAACTATGCTTTCATTAGCATCAATTAAAAAAAAATAAAGCATTTAGTTTAAATATTGTTTCTGTTAACCTATTTATACTTAATAATAAGAAATTTGAACAATTGGTTGAAAAAATTTCAAAATAGGCAATTGATCGAATTAAAAAAGAAATATGTGAAGCTGAAAAAAAAAACAGTAATAATATATATAATAATACCTGTGAATGTAGCTTGAAGTTAAATTTTAAACTATCATGCCACTACACAATTCTATTAACAGAGCCTATTCCACTTTCTATAATACATTCCTACTGGCTTCTAAAGCATGATTCAATATCTATATTACCTTCATTCTTGTTGTCTAATATAGCTATTAATAAGGCTTTATATATGTTAAAAGAAAAATATAAAAGCTTAAATAACTGTGAATCAAAAGCTATGCTTTTAAAAAAAATCAATACTCTAATTGATAAGGAGATAGTAACTCCAAAAGCATTATTATATATTGAAAATAGAGGTTAACTAACTTCTACTAAGTGTAATCTTCTACTTAGTAAATATTAAGATAAAGCTGCTAAACAAAAAAAGAAAAATACATTCAAACTTATAAAGGATTTGCAAAAATTACACCAACTATAGCAACTTTTATATCATAATCAAATACCTATTTATATGCATAAGTATATAAAAAAGATAATTAATATGAATGAAGCTAGTAATTGTAGCTACAGAGCACTAGCAGTATGTTTAGGAAAAAATGAAAATAAATGATTAGAGATATAAAAAGAATTATAAAAAGAGTTGATTAAAAATAAACAATTTTACCAGACCTTGTTTTTAGCCAATAATAATTACGAAGAAATTATAAGAAAAATCTTATAAATAGATAGCTTTTGCATATTTGAGTACTGGATATGAATGTTACAGATAGAAGATGTTATAGCTAATGTATACCAAAGATCATTATACTTTTTTTCACTACAAATTAATCTTATTTTTCTTTCATATTACCAACCATTAAATTGAAATAAAGCTCTTGCAATAGCTATTGTTAATGATAATTACTATGTAACTATTAGATTAAAAACTGATGCTTCTGTACCCTAATTATAAATCAATAGTTACAATTTGCTATTTCAACTGCAGAAAAATGAAAGCTACTAATTCAAAACTGTATTGACTAATTTTTTTTAATAAATATTTAAGCTTACAAAACAGATCTGAAAAAACAAAATAATAAATTAGTTACAGATATTAAATTTTAAATAGATATAATAAAAAGTGAAAGTTAAAATACTTTTGTAGTTAAGCTTTAATTATAATTAAATAAAATACAATACTAGTAGTTAGCTTTTAACTTAAAGTTTCATTAGTTCTACATACATAGTAGCTCAAAACTGAAATTACAGTTGTTAATAAAGTTAAAAATAAAATTCAAGTATTAGACTAAAATTAGTAAAAAATCTTAAGCATATATGGATCTGCACTGTCTGTAAATCACATGATCTATACAGTTTCCAATTCTGCAATGTACATAAACTTTTCGAATACAAAGCAGTATGACTTATGTGATATTAATAACACTACCCCTAACTGTTTCTAACTAACTATTCATATAATTTGAACTGTTTTTAAGAACTGTTTATAGATTGTTTATTATAATCAGTATTGAAATTGACTTATTAAACAATTGAACCAATTGGTTATTGGACTAATTGTACTAGTACCAATAAGTCCAATTGTACAATTATGCAATTAGACTTGATCCAATTACAAAAAAAATATATATGTATACTGACCAATAAAATTTTTATAGTACATAATACAAGTCTTATACATAGCATATATAATATAGTATTGATAAATATATTATATTTGAAGAACCTTATTTAAATAAGTTATTATTTGAAATATGAAAATTCAAAATGAAACTTTCAATTTAATAAAGATATATATACAAAGCATTTACAAAATAACTTTATTTTTATGACAAAGCTAAAAAATAGATATCATTACTAATTACAAGCATTTTAATTTTTATCAACAATAAAACTATCTATATAATTTGGTGAATCTAAGATATCTGTAAAAATATTTTGTAATTCCTATTTAGCTTATAGATCAATAACTGGATGTTGCAAATAATTAACTGTTTCTACAGAAATATCAAAATTATTGACAAAATTTGTAGTCTTAGTTTCTTATTCTTGATACTTATCTTCTATCATTTTAATCTACTCTGTTACTAGTTTTTTCCATTTATTAACTAAAGATGTTGACTGTATATGTTGATTATTTAATGAATTGTTACTTGTTTCTAAATCTGTAGTTGCATCATCACTATCTAATAAAATAGAGTTATTTGGATTATTTATTTTAGATTCTGTATTATTTAACTTAACACTAATAAAAATATAAGATAGATTTTGTCAATATTGTTGTACATGATTGTCTAAATCACAAAATTGTTGTTTATATTGTATATTTACTTGAATTTGAGTTAAGCCTAATACTTTATCAATTTAAAATATGAGGGTATGGGTCCCATAGCTTAGCGGTTAAGCTCCCATGCCCCCACAGTCAAGGTCAACGGTTCAAGTCCGGCTGGA